GTTTTTGGATTGTTCACTGTAATAAACAACAGATGAGTTGTCAAAAAGAAACCAGATGGTAATCCAGTGTCAAGATATGTTAATTAAATAAATTTCCACTAACAGGAATATTTGGCTACAAAATATACAAATACAATCAAGCATAAGAACTCTATAGGTCCAGTAGTAGGTAGTGAAACAGTCTGTTGTGTAGTAGTTTTATTGTCCACTATTCTCTGCTAATCTCTAAGACATTAGTCATGAAGCTGCAATAGGTCATGATCATGATTTTGTTTAGAATTAACAGCTCCATTTGCAATAGTTTCCACATAATACAATACAAGAATCAAATCGAACAAGTGTATGTATTCTTTGCTAAGAGCCTTAAGATACTAGAGTTACTGCTGCCATTCAGTAATGTAAAACCTAATAGTGGTCTACTATTAAAAGATAGTGTGCCTCATTAAAACCTTACTAGGAAAAACCCTGTGGGAAAAAAATTCTAGTGAAGGAAAAAGAGTACACATATTTAGTAATACGCATTGCTAGGTGCCTCATTAAAAACCTTATAAGGAAAACCCTGTGGGAAAAAACCTTAGTAAGGAAAAAAGAGTGCATCGCGTATTTTACTCCCCATGATGAAAACCTTGTTTCAAATATTTGAGTCTCTGCATTCTAATCTTGTATCTGCATAACCAATACGATCTGCACCACCTTTGTTAGCATTAGCAAGATACATAAGTGCATAGCAATTGCACTGAGATAGAGTATTTCAGGACCAATGAATTCCTCATCCTCTTCTGGAGGTCGGAACGGATCCTTATTTACTACAAGTGATCGAACACCCATTGCTGTACTTAATGGGTGCGCTTTGTCCATGTAAAAGCGTTTAAAGACCCTTTCTGTATAGGCAAATTGATGGATAAAGATCTCGTCTGCTTAATATTTAATTTGCAGACCAAGATAAATTTTTATTTTTCCAAGATCTTTCATCTCAAATTCTTTCTTAAGATATTCAATTGCCTTTGGAGCTCTTCTGGAGTTCCAACAAGATTTATGTCATCAACGTAAACAGCAAGTGTAACAAATTCTGATGACATTTTCTTTATAAATATACATGGACAAATAACATCATTTATGTAACTTTCTTTCAGCAAATATTCACTGAGGCGACTATATCACATGCGCCCAGATTGATTTAAATCGTACAAAGATATTTATAATCCGATCAAGTATATTTCTCGAGACTTTGAACTACATGCTTCAGGCATTTTAAATCCTTCAGGGATCTTTATAGAGATTTAATCAAATGAGTCATATAGGTTATGACTCGCATTTAAATGGCATGACATCTTCAGGTGTCTGGACTACTGGTCCGATCCTCACAATATTTCACAGTATTATGCACTATATTGTATCAAATATATCGTCGACGATCATTTTGTATCGGTTCTTAAGCGACATAACTTGTTGAGATCTCATCACTTTCTTTCAAGTACCTCAACTTATTCTGGAGTTTCATGAAATGTTATGTCGTGGGCTCTTCTAGAGCTCATTTCCTCCTCATTATGATCATTTTGATCATTAGCTCCTTATCATTTTTCAAGGATTGTTACCTTTGGAACCGATTGGTCTACCACGCTTCATGCGTACAGTAAACTCTATCCTTTAGGGACTTTAAATTTTAATAGGAGCATTTGCAGCTGAAATATGATATTTGATTTTGGATCAGCAAATGCTTCTGGCATTTGACTTGAATTATCTTCTAAGTGAGGATCATATTAATGATAATTCGATTCATATAGCATATTTTTCAGTTGTTTATTCCATTCCCCAAATGTTAGAAAAACTAACATATATCCCCAATCTTCTTTGGGAAACATATCTTTGTGCATTGTGGTAGAGAAATTAATCATATACCACACATCAAAAGATAGTAAAATATTTGGTTTCTGATCCTAAACCAATTGTGAGGGGAGGACTTATCATATATTGTTGGTCTGATGCATACAAGTGCTACTATATGCAATTTAGAAAATCTTAGACCAACACATGAAGCTTTGTTCTCATAAACAATAGTTTAGCCATTAATAGGAGGTATTCACTGCTAAACTAGCTTGTATATAAACCAGCATTATCAAGATGAACGGTCTTGATTTCATAATCTGAAAATTATGCTCTTAAGTGAGAAAAGCAATTTCAAATGCCAAACTGCAGGTTGACAATAAACATACATGTAACCATCTTATATATGCATCTATAAGTGGTTCACATAATAGGTGAATGGGCCCATATTCACCTTTTATATATTTTAGAATCAGGGGTCTTAGTCCCAACTTTAGCTGGTATAATCAATTTATTATGAGAACAAGCAACACAGGAGAATTCTTGAAGAATCTTCTAGTTCTTTAGTATATGCTTATCTAAATTCTCAAATAGCTCATTTAAAAATGGCAAATGAAAACTTCAAGTTTATCATGGCATGTGCTATCTCTTAGTAAACTTCTGATTTACTATGACATAAACTTTTGCATTAGTAAACTTCTGATTTACTGTGGCTACTTTTGTATTAGTAAACTTCTGGTTTACCGTGATACATGATGTAGTACAAATTGAAGAATAAGGCGGGTAACTTCTCATATACATATTATTTTACCCCCTATGATTGTGGAAACTGAAGATTTTCAATCTTCCAATCATTTATAGTCTCAATATGATAGCCAATTATTTTAGTAAACTTCGGGTTTACTACAACATATGTTTTGACCATAATCATATAATATGAATGACATATTTGTAAATAAGCTCTTCGAGAGCCTTCATTTATTATACAATCTAATATTTATCGGACACTACTGGTGTCATGTGTCTTCTAGGCAAACACTTAGCTCTTCAGGAGTTGTTGATACATTTTGTACTATCAAATATTGCTCAGACACTTCTGGTATCATAAGAGAAAATCACAATCAAATAAACAATTGTTTAAGCACAAGAAAACTCCTCTTCATAATATTTTCCTACTTCAGGAGGCAATTTGAATTGTATTACTTCTTCAGGAGCAAATTTAAAATACGAAATATTGAGTATATATTCTCTCAATCATATTACCTCTTCTGGAGGTGAATTGTAATATATTTATATCAAAAGCGCGTTCATATTTACCAGATTTATTAATATTGTCACTATATTCACTTCAGGGAATGGATTATTATTATTAAAAGTTCTCATCCTTCAGGAAAATCGAACATAATTATCTGAATGCGCATTAATCACATCAAATTGTGATGCCTCAACCTCTTTTAAAATATTTACTACTTCAGGAGCAAATCGAGGCGTGCATTTAATATAGAGAATATTTATGTAGCTTATTTTCAATTGTAACCATAGAAAGCCTAAATTATCACTTCTGGTGATTAACAAAATATAATTACAATGAGATATACGAAAACCACTTCTGGTGGTTGTATGTTTCTTGCAAACTCTGCTAGAGTTTAAGTTAATCTAATAATGTTATCCATATTCTTCAAAATGACATAAATAAGATATATTATAGTAAACATCATTATCAAATCATAATTTTTCTTTATGTACAACAATTACATAACCATACTATCTATTACAAACAACAAAAATTAAAATATTTACATTTCTACAAATTCACTGCCGATTACATGACTTGTTTCTCCTTCTGGGAGTGCAAAGTAATCAGCTACGTCCAAATGCATGAAGTCTAAATTATCTTCAGAAATATAATTTGCTTCAGCATTTTTCTCTGCCTTCTTCAGGGAGGCTTGATAAAGCTCAACCAGGTGCTTTGGCGTACGACAGGTACGTAACCAGTGCCCTTTTCCTCCACATCTGTAGCATGCACTTTCTGCATTTGGTGCTTGCACCGCTTCATGCTTTTGTTCCTTCCTTTTCCACTGCTGGTGGCGAGGAGGGTTCTTTGGTGCATTATTATTACCATGATTAGAGTTTCTTTCCCGACCACGGCCATGACCATGACTGGGGCCACAACCTCTTCCACGTTTAGCTTGGTGGAAGTTCGTCTCATTCACTTCAGGGAATGGACAAGAACCAGTAGGTCGGCTTTCATGATTTTTCATTAATAGCACATTATGTTGCTCGGCTATAAGAAGATGTGAGATAAGTTCAGAATACTATTTAAATCCCATCTCTGGATATTGCTGCTGCAGGAGCATATTCGAGGCATGGAAAGTGGTGAAAGTTTTCTCCAACATATCATGATCAGTAATATTATCACCACATAATTTTAATTGGGAAATAATTCTGAACATAGCAGAATTATACTCACTGATAGATTTAAAATCTTGTAGCCTTAGATGAGTCCAGTCATATCGTGCCTGTGGAAGAATGACCATCTTCAGGTGGTCATGTCTATCTTTCAAATTATTCCACAGTATGACTGGATCTCTAACAGTAAGATATTCCATTTTCAGGCCCTCATCAAGGTGATGGCGTAGGAATATCATTGCTTTGGCACGGTCTTGGTTTGATGCCTGATTTTTGTCTTTGATGGTGTCTACCAGACCTATCGCATCAAGATGAATTTCAGCATCAAGCACCCAAGACATGTAGCTTTTGCCCGATATATCCAGGGCTACAAATTCAAGTTTAGAAAGATTTGACATTGTATAGAAAAAGAAAGTTCGTACCTCAGATACTTTCAAAGTATTTGCTCGAGATGGCAGAGTCTCGTGCTGATAACGTGTTATAAAATAAAGACTGTAAAGTAAAGACAAGTATAGAGAGAAACTGATATATTATCTGAATTCAAACTGATGTACATAATGAACTGAGATCTCTTCTATTTATAGAAGAAAGGAAGCTGCTGTGTAAGCTGCTACTGCAAGCTGCTGTGTAAGCTGCTACTGTAAGCTGCTGTGTAAGCTACTACAAGCTGCTGTGTAAGCTGCTACTATACCAGATATGGATAATCTTANATATATATATATATATTTTGCTAACCTACTACATAGTTGTAGTAGGTTAGCATTGTATACACTTTTGAGTTATCCAAAATAGCCCTAGCAATCTCCAATCACGTTCCACCGGCACATTAAATGTAGGGACTAAATTACCTTTTCTTACAATTTCCACCCAAACACCTTCCACTTCTTCTGCGCAATTTCTAGTATATCCATGAAGAAAGAATCACACCCATCTAAATCACAGTTCCACACCCAGTTAGGTAACCAAAAAAGTGAGAGATAAATTGACGATGAGATGAATCCATTTCCATCAAGATCAATCCTATAAAAACGTAAGAAAGTTTCAGATTACAACCAATTTTATTACTTCTATTTCAGATTATAACAATGAAATTGATTAGCTTTATTTTACCTCTTGATTTCTGGGTTTATATTTCAGAACGATGAAGTTGGTTAGATTTGGTTTTACTTTTGTTTGCTGGGTTTACAAGCTTAAGAAGATCAGAAGCATCACTCAAAGAAATTGGCTAGATTTGGCTTAACTTTTGAGGGCGGAATTAAAGAATAGATATGTTGGAAATCTCATAAACAACAATACTTTATCTTTTGAGATTTGTGTTTAGCTTTTTGGAGCTTCTTCGGAAGGACGAGGAGTTAAAAATATGTTAATCCCTTCTGAAAGTGGGTTAATTTTTGGATTAATGTTAATGGAGTTTTTTGTTAATCCCTACTGAAAATGAAAATGGAGCCAAATTTAATTTCCTTATGATTCTGATGCTGGATTGAAAGGGTGAAGAAGAAGATTGAACAAGGAAATGACAAAAAAACTGATAAGAATGGACATTGGGCCTAACTCAACCCCAAAAACTAGCTTGTGAGGTGAGGATTGCCCAAGCCATATAAGGAGATCAAGGACCTCAACTCCCACCGATGTGGGACAACTCAACACCCCCCTCATGCCCAGGCCTTTGGAGCGTGGACAACATAAATAGGGGCCCAACATCGGTAACAATAATTGGGATGGACCTGGCTCTGATACCATGATAAGAATGGACATTGAGCCTAACTCAACCTCAAAAGCTAGCTTGTGAGGTGAGGATTGCCCAAGCCATATAAGGAGACCAAGGACCTTAACTCCAACCGATATGGACAACTCAACAAAAACCCAATTAGTTCATATGTTGTTGATGTGATGCTAGGGGTATTTTGGAGAACTCAAAAGTGTATATAATGCTAACCTACTACAACTATGTAGTAGGTTAGCAAAACCATATATATATATATATATACACACTAGTTTCTGGACACGTGCGTTGCACGTGTGTCCCATTCGGTTTATGCATATTTTTTAAAATATTATAAAATAATATTAAAACATATAACAAATGAGTAACAATTCTTCTAATATAACATATATTCCGATTGATTCTAAACCTAGAAAATGACTTTTCTTGATTACCTCTTTTATTTATTTATTATTTTTACTGTTAAGACTTTCTAAATGTTAATATATGCAATTGATTGCTAAATTTTCTTCTAAAAGAAAATCTTTCATAATATGGCATGTGCAACTTTAAGAGTTCTTTCTTGTTAATTGACAAATATGTACTTGAGCATCATATAATATGCTTTAATAATTTTCTCGATAATATAAACTTGAAGAAATATCAAAACAAATAAACTTTTGAAATTGAAGAAAAAGCACTAGCATGAAATAATTCCTTAATAAATTAAACTAAATTCAACTAAATGACATAAATAATCTCTTCTCCAACTTAGCTTCTTTGTGTAATTTTCTTGTTTTCACATGTGTGCGTAGTAGAGGCGGATTTAGGCTGTTGGGTGGCCCCCAAGTTTTGTATGAATTCTATATTTGTATTTAGAAATTAAGTAAATATATAAAACTTATGAGTTGAGAATCCACTAACAAAGTTTGTGGTTGGTCTAGAGAAAATTTGCTTTTCATATAGTGTTCTTATCGGAGAATATTACATGCCTATCACCTGATCTCTCGTTCTATTTATAAGGGACATACCCCCAGTTAACCCTAAAAGTATAAACAAAGAGAATATTTAATGAAATATTCCCTCAAAATAGTCGTTACGGCTCCTTCTGACACTTGACCTCGGTCATGATCGACTGCTCGGTGGTGAGTTCCATTAGTTATTAGTCAACATCGGCCAAACTACTTTCAGTAACACCACTTCATGTCGAATATGGTTAGTCGGATTTTGACCCCAGACAACTATCACATTTTATATGGCATAATTCAGAATTCGAAAGTCAATCTTTTTAAATTTGACTATAAATTCGAACATAGAATTTTTAAATTCTTTGAAATAATATATATATGTAATGACCCGACCGGTCGTTTTGAGTCCTAGCGCTCCGTTCAGCAGTCGGAGGCCATGAACAGCTTCATTTCGGGTATTATGACTTGTACTCGTGGTCAGAATTAAGTTTCGGGAAGTTCAAAGTTAATTTAGAAAGAGAATTCTCATTTCAGAAGCTTAAAGTTGAAAGAATGAACTAGGATTGAAATTTTGAGTAAACGACCTCGGAATCGGGATCCGAAAGTTCCAGCAAGTTCGTATGATGATTTCAGACTTGGGCGTATGCCCGATTCGGGTTTTGGATAACCCGGGAGTGTTTTGGCGCCTAAATTGGAAGTTAGCATTTTAGAAGAAATTTCTTATGTTTGGCTTGAAGTGCAATTCAGTGTTATCGATGACCGTTTGGTATTCCGAGACCGTGAATAGCTCCGTATGGTGATTCTGGAGTTGGGGGCGCGATCGGAAGTGAATTCGGAGGTCCGTAGGACATTTTGGAGCCATTTGGCTAAGGATAGAAATTTGAAGGTTTTTAAGAAGTTTGACCGGAGGTTGACTTTTTGATATCGGGGTCGGAATCCGATTCCGGAAGTTGCAGTAGGTCCGTAATGTCAAATATGACTTGCGTGCAAAATTTGAGGTCAAGCGGACGTGGTTTGATAGGTTTAAACATCGGAAATAGAAGTTGGAAAGTTCAAAGTTCATAAAGATTGAATTGGGGTGTAATCCGTGATTTTCGTGTTGTTTGATGTGATTTGAGGCCTCGAGCAAGTTCGTAATATGTTTTGGGACTGGTTGGTGTGATTGGTTGGGGTCCCAGGGGCCTCGGGTGGATTCTGGGTGGTTAACAGATCGAAAATGGATTTTTGGGAAGGCTGAGGCTTGCTGATTGCTGGTATTTCCGCTTCTGCGGAAATGGGACCGCAGAAGTGGCCCCGCAGAAGCGGTAGAGGGAGCCGCAGAAGCGGAATTGTTCGAAGGTTCATGGACCGCAGATGCGGTCAAGGTTCCGCAGAAGCGGGACCGCATCTGCAGAAGTGATATCGCAGAAGCGGAAGGGGCCAGGTCCAAGGAAGCCGCAGAAGCGGCCAAAAGTCGCAGAAGCGACATCCACAGAAGCAAAAAATGCACCGCAGGTGCGAAAATCGCTGGTGGCAGAGGGGTTGTTTTAAAGTCGGATTTTGTTCATTTCACCCATTTTCTTCACTTCATTTGGCGATTTTTGGAGAGCTTCAAAGAGGGATTTCGTCATATATGTCAAGGTAAGTTACTCCTACTCATTTTCAAGATAAATACAAGATTATATCATGGATTTAGGCATGAAAATTGTGGGGAAATTGGTGTTTTTACAAGAAGACCTAGAAATTTATAAATGGGAATTTAGCCACGAATTTGAGCATGGAATTAGGAGTAAATTGTATATTTGAGCTAGTAAAGTCATGGGTAAGCTTTATCTTCGAAAAATTTCGGATTTCGGGCACGTGGGCCCGAGGGCATTTTGGTCATTTCACTAAGCGGAGTTGGGAATTTGTATAATTTGAATGTTAATGAGTATTTGAGTATGTTCTCATTAGTTTGTCGTTAATTGGCTAGTTTGGTGCAATGTGCGTCGGTTCAAGCCTTCAGAAGAATGTAGAATGCGGATTATGAGTCTTCGGAGCGAGGTGAGTCTTCTTTCTAACGTTGTGAGGGGGAAATGTCCCCATAGGTGAATTAAATGGTTATGTGCTCCTTATTGTGGGGGCTACGTACGCACGAGGTGACGAGAGTCCGTGCGTAGCTATTATTATGCTATTGTCCGGGTAGTTAGGACCCAAAAGCATGTTATACTTGAATTATTTGTGAATCCATCGATAGCTTGAATTGCTTAAATCACATTAAATTAGTAAATGAATTTCTAAAAGGATTAAACTTCATTTCTTAAAATTTGTTAAAGGAGAATTGGTTTTAATTGGATAAATATTCCCCGATAAGTTCTTACTTGGCTGATTGAGCATGTATCCCTATGTGTACCTGCGTCGCATGCATGATTCGCGAGCAGGGTATGTGTTTATTTATGGAACGGGCCGAACGCCTCAGCAGATTAAATAGATGCATCTATGGTTCGTGCCGTTCGACCCTCGGCAGTGCACAGTTTACATTTCTGTTGGATCGGGCCGTCGCCTCGGTGTGATTTGCGCATGTTATTTGTCGCTTGAGAATTTTTAAACATGAAATTTGCCCGTCGTGGCTTGATATAAATTGAAAAGATAATAAAGAGTAAATCTTGAAAATCCTTTGTTAATTGTTAAAAGGTGTTTACCTGTTTTACAGCTTCGTGAATTAGAACATGCTATATGAATCCATGATTTCCTCACACATTTAGGTATTATTATTATTGGACCGCTAGTGAGTGTCCAGGTTGACCATCTCGTCTCTACCCCTTCGAGGTTAGGCGGGATACTCACTGAGTACACGTTGATTACGTACTCATACTATACTTCTGTGCATTTTTGTTGCACAGGTATATTTTACATTTGATAGCAGCACGGATGATTTGGGGACTAGGTGAGCTGCATTGTTCGAGGCGACCCGCAGCTAGTGTAGTTCCCTTCCAGTACTTTATTTATTTATTTCCTGTCCACTGTACTTCGGACAAATATTGTATTTTATTTTCCTTATCTGTAGTTGCTCATGCACTTGTGACACCGGGTTCTGGGATGGTTTTTTGAAAGATGTGTATTAATAGTTATTTCTTGATTTGAATCGAGACAGAGATTGTTTTATATATTAAAAATGGATGGAAAACCCCTTAGATTTTCAAAGGTATTAAAAGAGGATTTAATTGATAATTTAGCTGGCTTGCCTGACAACGGTGTCGGGCGCCATCGCGACCCGTAGTGGATTTGGGTCGTGACAACATGGTATCAGAGCACTAGGTTCCTAGGGTCTCACGAGTCATGAGCAAGTCTAGTAGAGTCTCGCGGATCGGTATGGAGACGTCTGTACTTATCCCTCGGGAGGCTGCAGGACTGTTAGGAGTACTTCCCTTCTTGATTCCTTATCGTGCTATTCGATTTCATGAGAGGCTTATGCCTTTGTTTCTTTCCACTCAATCTTATGCGACGCGAAGCGCTTGATGTAAATCGAAAATTGAAGAACCGTAATGGTACTACAGATGTGATACGGGGTGTTTCTCCCGGTATAGCTGATCATATTATTGTCGTCACCTGATGGAGTAATATTTTATTGTTTCAGCCCAGTAGCGGTAATTTCGAGGGCTTTGAGGCTAGGCACAAGTTGCCGCAATGCTTATGAATGACTATTCTGCAGTAGTGATATGATGGTATGATGTTGCCCACGTGTTAAGGCAAGAAATGACTTGAAGGGAGGTCTACTCAGTGCATAATCAAGAGATTCAGTATGTTATTCCCGGCTGGGGGAAAGGTAACCGAGCTAAGGAGGGTCAGATGTGGACTGGTGGAAATAATGAGGCTTGGTAATTGCAAGTGTGGTGGATTTTTCCTTCTATATTGGGGTGCAGTCGTCCTAATTGGACGTACAAAGTTTGTCGGTGTTATGATTTTCTACAATTCCCCTTTGAGGCAGGGTATTGTGAAATAGTATCAGAGATCCAACTATCCGATATCGCTGGATGCGGTGGTTCAGGATTGAATCAGTATTTCTCCTTCGGAAAGGGTTGGAGTTAGTGGCCAATTGAGGATTTAAGTTCTCTGAAGATAAATTTTATTAAGGCAACAACTGAGCAGCGAAGGATGAGAAGGACATGTGGGAAGCGTCCGGCGGAGTTTTAAATTGCTAAAAGGCCAGGTATATGAAGCAAAGGTTGAGTAGTCGATTAAGGGATGAGTTCCGCCAAAGTGGGAGAGTGGCGGAGATGCATATGGGCTTGCAGTGGACGGACCACGTACCTTAAGGAGA